CTTTGCATCAGATGACCTAACTATTAGAGCTTCAGCTATAATTTTCTGGAAGAGTTTGAGTACGATTGGTGTTAGCTCTTCTCTAAATTTTTGGTAGAATTCACCTGTAAAGTCATCTGGTCCTGGGCTTTTGTTTGTTGGAAGGTTTTTGATTATAGTTTCAATTTCCATGCTTGTGATGGGTCTGTTAAGATCTTCTATTTCTTCCTGGTTCAGTTTTAGAAGGTTATACTTTTCTAAGAATTCATCCATTTCTTCCAAGTTGTCCATTTTATTGGCACATCGTTGCTGATAGTAGTCTATCAAAGATCCTTTGTATTTCTGTGCTGTCTTTTGTGATTTCTTTATGTAATTTTGTTGATTTGATTCTTCTCCCTTTTTTTTCTTGATGAATCTGGCTAATGGTTTGTCTGTTTTATATATCTTCTCAAAGAACCAGCTTTTGGTTTTGTTGATTCTTGCCATAGTCTCCTTTATTTCATTTTCATTTATTTCTGCTCTGATTTGTATGATTTCTTTCCTTCTACTAACCCTGGGTTTCTTCATTTCTTCTTTTTCTAGTTGCTTTAGGTGTAAAGTTAGGTTATTTATTTGATTTTTCCCTTACTTATTGAGGTAAGCTTGTATTGATATGAACCTTCCTCTTAGCACTGCTTTTACTGAATCCCATAGGTTTTGGGTTGTCATGTTTTCATTTTCATTTGTTTCTATGCTTATTTTGATTTCTTTTTTTTATTTCTTCTGTGATTTGTGGGTTATTCAGAAGCCTCCGCCTGTTTGTATGTTTAATAGTATTGTTTCCTGCAGTTGACATCTAATCTTACTGCACTGTGATCAGAAAAGAAACTTGAAATGATTTCAATTTTTTTGAATTTACCAAGGCTAGATTTATGTCCCAGGATGTGATCTATCCTGGAGAATGTTCCGTGTGCACTTGAGAAAAAGGTGAAATTCATTGTTTTGGGGTGAAATGTCCTATAGAAATCAAGTAAGTCTAACTGGTCCATCGTATCATTTAAAGCTTGTGTTTCCTTGCTAATTTTCTGTTTGGTTGATCTATCCATAGGTGTGAGTGGGGTTTTAAAGTTTGCCACTATAATTGTGTTACTGTTAATTTCCTCTTTTACATTTGCTAACATTTGCCTTATGTATTGAGGTACTGCTATGTTGGGTGCATATATATTTATAATTTTTATATCTTCTTCTTGGATTGATCCTTTGATCATTATGTAGTGTCCTTCTTTGTCTCTTGTCACGGCTTTTTTTTCGAAGTCAAAAATCTTTTCAAAGATCTTTTTCAAAATCTTTTTTTCAATAGATTTTTCAAATCTATTTAATCTGATATAAGTATTTCTTCTCCTGCTTTCTTTTGGTCTCTATTTGCATGAAATATCACTTTCCTGCCCTTCACTTTCAGTCTGTATGTGTCCCTTGGTTTGAGGTGGTTTGTTGTACAGGGGTCTTGTTTTTGGATCCATTCAGCCAGTCTTTGTCTTTTGGTTGGGGCATTAAACCCACTTAATTTAAGATAATTATTGGTAAGTATGATCCCATTGCCATCTACTTTGTTGTTTCAGGTTTGAGTTTATAAATCTTTTCTGTCCTTCCTGTCTACAGAAGATCCTTTAGCATGTGTTGAAGAGCTGATTTGGTGGTGCTGAATTCTCTCAGCTTTTGCTTGTCTATAAAGCTTTTGATTTCTCCTTCATATCTGAATAAGATCCTTACTAAGTACAGTAATCTGGGTTGTAAGTTTTTCTCTTTTATCACTTTAAGTATTTTCAGCCATTCCCTTCTGGCCTGAAGAGTTTCTATGAAAGATCAGCTATTATCCTTATGGGGATCCACTTGTGTATAATGTGTTGCTTTTCCCTAGCTGCTTTTTATATTTGCTCTTTGTGTTTGATATTTGTCAGTTTGATTAAGATGTGTCTTGGAGTGTTTTGCCTTGGGTTTATCCTGTTTGGGACTCTCTGGGTTTCTTGGACTTGGGTGGCTATTTCCTTCCCCATTTTAGGGAAGGTTTCAACTATTATCTCCTCAAGGATTTTCTCATGCTCTTTCTCTTTGTCTTCTTCTTCTGGGACACCCAAGATTCTTCTATTGGGGCATTTAACATTGTCCCAGAGGTCTCTGAGGTTGTCCTCATTTCTTTTAAAGTTTTTTTCTTTTTTGTCTCTGCTTCAATTATTTCCACCATTTTATCTTTCACCTCACTTATCCTCTTTTCTGCCCCATTTATTCTACTGTTGCTTCCCTCCAGAGAGCTTCTGATCTCAGTTATTACATTATTCATTATTGATTGACTCTTCTTTATTTCTTCTAGGTCCTTGCTAAACATTTCTTGCATCTTCTCAATCCTTGTCTCAAAATTTATCTGTAACTCCATTTTGTTTTCAACATTTTGGATCATCTGTACTATCATTATTCTGAATTCTTTTTCAGGAAGACTCCCTATCTTCTCTTCTTTTGTTTGATTTGGTGGGCATTTTTCATACTCCTTTACCTGCTGAATATTTCTCTGCCTTTTCATTTTGTTTCGTTTGCTGTGTTTGGGGTGCCCTTTTGTAGCCTGGAAGTTCGTGGTTTCTCTTTATTGTGGAGCCTGCTCCCTGTGGGTGGGGTTGGACTAGGGGCTTGTCAAGGTTTCCTGGTCAGGGGATCTTGTGTCTTTCTTCTGGTGGGTGGAGCCCTTCTCTCTGGAGTGCAATGAAGTGTCCAGTAGTGAGTTGTAGGGTGTCCAGGGTTTGGCATGGCTATGGGAAGCATGTCTTTTAATGCTCAGGGCTGTGATCCTGCTTTGCTGGAGAATTATTGTGGTTATGTCTTGCACTGGAACTTGTTGGCTCTTGGGAGGAGCTTGGTTTCAGTGTAGGTATCAAGATTTTTGGGTGAGCTCTTTTCTATTAATGTTCCCTGGAATCAGGAGTTCTTTGATGTAGAACTGTGTTTCTTAACTTGCCATTTGTATTACAGTTATCATTCCACTTAATAACTACAGTTTAGTTCAGTTCAGTCACACCATCATGGCCGACTCTTTCCCACGGACTGCAGCACGCCAGGCCTTCCTGTCCATCACCAACTCCCGGAATTTACTCAAACTCATGTCCATTGAGTCAGTGATACCATCCAGCCATCTCATCCTCTGTCATCCCCTTCTCCTCCCGCCTTCAATCTTTCCTAGCATCAGAGTATTTTCCAATGAGTCAGTTCTTCACATCAGGTGGCCAAAGCATTGGAGTCTCAGCTTCAGCATCAGTCCTTCCAATGAACATCCAGGTCTAATCTCCTTTAGGATGGACTGGTTGGATCTCCTTGCAGTCCAAGGGACTCTCAAGATCTTCTCCAAAACCACAGTTCAAAAGCATCAATTCTTCAGCGTTCAGCTTTCTTTATAGTCCAACTCTCACATCCATACATGACTAGTGGAAAACACACAGCTCTGATTAGATGGACCTTTGTTTGCAAAATAGTGTCTCTGCTTTTTAATATGGTGTCTAGGTTGATCATAAATTATTTTCCAAGGAGTAAGCATCTTTTAATTTAAAGCTACAATCACTATCTTCAGTGATTTGGAGCCAAAAAATATAAAGTCTGCTACTGTTTCCATTGTTTCCCCATCTATTTTACATAAAGTGATGGGATCAGAGGCCATGATCTTTGTTTTCTGAATGCTGACCTTTAAGCAAAGTTTTCCACACTCCTCTTTCACTTTCATCAGGAGATTCTTTAGTTTCTCTTCACCTTCTGCCATAAGGGTGGTGTCATCTGCATATCTGAGGTTACTGACATTTCTCCCGGCAGTCTTGATTCCAGCTTGTGCTTCATCCAGGTCAGTGTTTCTCATGATGTACTCTGCATATAAGTTAAATAAGCAGGGTGACAATATACAGCCTTGACGTACTCCTTTTCCTATTTGGAACCAGTCTGTTGTTCCATGTCCAGTTCTAACTGTTGCTTCCTGACCTGCATACAGGTTTCTCAAGAGGCAGGTCAGGTGGTCTGGTATTCCCATCTCTTTCAGAATTTTCCACAGTTTATTGTGATCCACACAGTCAAAGGCTTTGGCATAGTCAATAAAGCAGAAATAGATGTTTTTCTGGAACTCTCTTGCTTTTTCGATGGTCCAGTGGATGTTCACAATTTGATCTCTGGTTCCTCTGCCTTTTCTAAAATCAGCTTGGACATCTGGAAGTTCACAGTTCAAGTATTGTTGAAGCCTAGCTTGGAGAATTTTGAGCATTACTTTATTAGCTTGTGAGATGAGTGCAATAGTGCAATAGTTTGAGCATTCTTTGGCATTGCCTTTCTTTGCAATTGGAATGAAAACTGACCTTTTCCAGTCTTGTTGCCACTGCTGAGTTTTCCAAATTTGCTGGCATATTGAGTGCAGCACTTTCACAGCATCAATCTTTAGGATTTGAAATAGCTCAACTGACAACTACATACACGCATGATCAGAATTTGTAAAAAAATATGGTGAGAGGAAGACTTTAAATAATATTTTTGTATGTATGTTGAAAAGGAGAACCAATTAACACTTTAATATTTGGATTGTCCTAATTAAGAATGATTGATACAATTTATATTCTGAATTATGTATATACTTGCTGATGTAGTGCCAGAGCTCTCAGAATAGTAACGTGCATGCAGTAAGTGCCCACCAATATTTCCCAATGAACTAAAATTAGAATTATGTGTCACAAGCCTTTTATTATTGTTAACTACACGTAACATTTTGAAACTGATTTATTTGTTCTTGTAAAATGCTCTTTTTCTCCCTTCTAATCTATATTAGGGTGTGCATGTATACATATATGTGCTAAAATATAAAGTTTCTTTGGATAAACTCTAAAGATACAAAAATACTTTTGAAAGCTTATAAACTATGAGAGAACATGAAAATGACACTGTAAAAATAACAAATACTTTTCTACTATGATCCTTTGTTATACGATCTCTATGCATCACTGCTCCCTCTGTCTCATGACAGTCCGTACCTTTCACAGTACTGTCCTTCATATCCCCGTGGGCAAGCTGTGCAGCGGTAATCACCCAGGCCTTCCATGATACAAGATGGGCTGAAACTGAATCAGAAAAAAAACAAAGATTGAAAAAATCATTTGACTTATTTATTTTTACAAATTTAAGCAATTCTATCTAATATCTAGATGATTGGAACTGGTTTTTGATGGTTACAAATGTCATATTTGTAATTATAAGTTCCTATTCAAGGGTAATGGGCTTCCCCGGTGGCTCTGTGGTAAAGATTCTGCCTGCAAAAAGATGCGAATTTGATCCCTCGGTCAGGAAGATCCCCTAGAGAAGGAAATGGCAACTCACTCCAGTATTCTTGTCTGGAAAAATCCCTTGAACAGAGAGGCTTGGCAGGCTATAGTCTATGGGGTTGCAATGAGTCAGACATGACTTAATGATTGAACAACAACATTCAAGGGTAGGATATCACAACTAAATATTACTAATAATAGTTAACAAGTAAAGATGGTCACTTTTTGGTGAATTAACAATGCATGACACTGACCATGTTAAAACTGTGAAGTTTTAATAATTATATGACAGTCATGAAAATATCAAACATCCAGAAAAAGGGTGCTATTTTTCATGAATTAAAATAAAAACATGATGAGAATTCCTGCACATTTGTCAGACAGTAGAATAAGTACTATTGAGTATCTTTCAGGTTAAAAAAAAAATGGGGACATAAAAGTAATTTAATTTTTTAAAACTTAGCCCAAATTGCCACTGGATATCAATGCATTAAGTGTGAATAGATGTTTCACTTAAAATAAAGACTGTCTTTTGTATTTTACATATGGATTTCAAATTACATTTTACTTTAAATACAAAATAATGTGATCTAGTGTAAGGAAATAAGACAGGAAATCTTTCTGCATGAAAATTAATATGATTTTCTAACAATTTTATAATCTCTTCTAAGAAGTTGCTGCTGTTCTTTAGTTGCTAAGTAATGTCCAACTTTGTGATTCCATGGACTGTAGTCCACCAGGCTTCTCTGTCTATGGGATTTCCCAGGCAAGAATAATAGAATGAATTGCCATTTCCCTATCCAGGGGATCTTCCAAACCCAGGGATCAAACCCACATCTCCTGCATTGGCAGGGAATTCTTTACCACTGAGCCACCAGGGAAACCCTTCTAATAAGTAAGTCTCCTATAACATGCCTGCTTTTGACAACACTGATAGACAGTGGCCAGTGAGCCTTGCTCCAGGATTCTTTTGTTTGTTTGCTTGTTTGCTCTAGGATTCTTGGTCACCTTACCCCACAAAGGAAAGACTAGAGAAGATTTGAAAAGGAAACTATGCTAAAATGTAGTTTTGGGTTGTAACAAATTTCTTTGAAATACAAATACTGCTTCATTTCCACTGGACAAAATGCATGGTGCTCTGGAAATTTAGAAAGAAAAAAACAATGGTAATGTTGCAAAACAGCAATGTTACAAACACCATTTTGCGTTCTGTTGGTCTGCTAAGCCAGCTGATGCTGAAAAAGCAATAAGCTATGTAGACCAGAGTTGCAACTCCTATTGCTCAGGTGCCATTTGGACCCTATTTTAATTGTCCTCCATGCAGGTCAAAAAGCAACAATTAGAACTGGACATGAAACAATGAACTAGTTCCAAATTGGGAAAGGAGTACGTCAAGGCTGTATATTGTTGCCCTGCTTATTTAACTTAAATGCAGAGTACATCAGCAAAATGCTGGACTGGATGAAGCATGAGCTGGAATTAAGATTGCTGGGAGAAATATCAATTAACTCAGATATACGGGTTAAATCATCCTTATGGCAGAAAGAGGAGAGGAACTAAAGAGTCTCTTGAAGGTGAAAGAGGAGAGTGAAAAAGTCGGCTTAAAACTCAACATACAAAAAACTAAGAAAAACAGATCATGGCATCCGGTCCCATCATTTCATAGCAAATAGATGGGGAAACAACGGAAACAGTAAGAGACTTTCTTCTCTTGGGCTCCAAAATTACTGCAGATGGTGATTGCAGCCATGAAATTAAAAGATGCTTGCTCTTTGGAAGAAAAGCTACGACAAACCTAGATAGCATATTAAAAAGCACAGACATTACTTTGCCAACAAAGGTCCATCTAGTCAAAGCTATGGCTTTTCCAGTAGTCATGTATGGATGTGAGAGTTGGACCAAAAAGAAAGCTGAGTGCTGAAGAATTGATTCTTTTGAACTGTGATGTTGAAGACTCTTGAGTGTTCCTTGGACAGCAAGGAGATCAAACCAGTCAATCCTAAAGGAAATCAATCCTGAATATTCACTGGAAGGACTGATGCAGAAGCTGAAGCTCCAATACTTTGGCCACCTGATTAGAAGAGCCAACACATTAGATTCTAAGACCCTTATGCTGGTAAATATTGAAGGCAGGAGGAGAAGGGGACGACAGAAGACAAGATTGTTGGATGGCATCACTCACTCAAAGGATATGAGCTTGAGCAAGCTCTGGGAGAGGGTGAAGAACAGGGAAGCCTGGTGTGTGCAGTCCACGGGGTTGCAAAGAGTCAGACACGACTGAGCGACTGAACAACAGCTAATACATTAAATAAGTAGAACATGAATGAGTGATAAATTTTAACCTTTGCATAATATGGGATCTACTACTCACAACTCATTATCCAGCTTTTTTTTTTTTTTTTGCCTTAACAAAAATAGACCCACAGACACGTAACTGACACATTCTGTTAAGCTTCTAGCTCTTTAAAGCTGGATGCTGAGTTCATCTGTACATACACACACACAAACACACATACATACAAAGTCATATACATATATAGGCACTTGGAAAACAGATTTTTATACATTCAAGTGAAATTCTATAGAGCCAACATGGTTAAATTATATTTCTTTATAGTAATGGATCTATCTCAATTATGATGCCAGAATGCCATAACTTTCCTTGGATAGTTGATGTAAACTGTTTTGAATTATGATATTATGGTGGACTGAAACTTTTACTTACATCATATATATGGACTTATGAAACAGGATGTCGGAATTACATCTTACTTGAGGTTTGGATTTATTCTTTATGGTCCTGAATCCCTTATCTCCTCTCAATTTTCATATTGTCTGCAGGGCCACTTAGAAATCCTATAGTTTCTCTTTTCTGTGGCCATTTTATGTTATCTTAGGCCTGTTAATTCCTAAGTTACTCAACAGAATGTCTAGGACTTACAGTCTGCTACCCTCTGTCATCTCCTGTGGAGTCTACTGAAATGAAGTGACTTCCCGGGTTCCACTCCCTGATCCCAGTTCATTGACTGTTCCTTTCCAGTCTGCTTTGCTGGATCTATGTCATGTCCTTGACTTCCGAATATGCTTCAGGTTTCAGTCTTCAGGTGTTTTCTATCCTATCTTGTCCTGTCCTCTTTCCCCTAGATGACCTCACTCAGTCTTCAGTTCAGACGCTCAGTCGTGTCTGACTCTGCAACCCCATGAACCACAGCATGCCAGGCCTCCCTGTCCATCACCAACTCCCAGAGTCCACCCAAACCCATGTCCATTGAGTCGGTGATGCCATCCAACCATCTCATCCTCTGTTGTCCCCTTCTCCTCCTGCCCTCAATCTTTCCCAGCATCAGGGTCTTTTCAAATAAGTCAACTCTTCACATCGGGTGGCCAAAGTATTGGAGTTTCAGCTTCAACATCAGTCCTTCCAATGAACACCCAGGACTGATCTCCTTTAAGAAGGACTTGTTGAATCTCCTTGCAGTCCAAGGGACTCTCAAGAGTCTTCTCCAACACCACAGTTTCAAAGCATCAATTCTTTGGCGCTTAGCTTCCTTTTTATAGTCCAACTCTCACATCCACACATGACTACTGAAAAAACCATAGCCTTGACTAGATGGACCTTTGTTGGCAAAGTACTGTCTCTGCTTTTTAATATGCTGTCTAGGTTGGTCATAACTTTCCTTCCAAGGAGTAAGCGTCTTTTAATTTTATGTCTGCAATCACCTTCTGCAGTGATCTTGGAGCCCCCCAAAATAAAGTCAGCTAGTCTTAAAGGCTCTAAATATTGTATCTATCCCAATAGATCTAAAACTGAGCTCCTGTCCTCCCAAAATTACCACTGACTTTTCTGTCATTTTCCCATCTCAATCAATGGCCATACATGGCTTCTATCTGCTCTGCCATAAACCACAGAATCACCTTTTTTTCCTCTCAGATTCCATGGGTATTCTATCTGCAAATGCTGCTGGTGTTACCATCACTAATTCATTGCATTATCCTATTCCAAGCCACCTCTTGCCATTGGAAGATTTTTAGCCTTCATGACATTTACTAACTCACTGGAGCTCCCCTGCCTCCACCTCCTGTCACCCTTCCCCATCCCCATGCACTCTGCTCTAGCTGCCCTGGACACCTGCTGTCTGCCCAGTGAGGGCTATCTCCAGGCCATTGTGCTTACTTTTTCCTCTGGCTGGGTGGCTCTTGGTTTAGATGGTCATGTGACTCTCTCCATGACTTATTCAAGGCTCTGGACAAGCCTCATCTGTTTGTGAAGATCTCCATCGAACACGCTAATGAAAAGAGCACCCTATTCTCTCCAAATTCACTGAGGCTGCTCAGTTTTTTTCCTGGCACTTTCACTAACTGATATTACATAATAAATTTGTGGATTTTTTTCAGGTTTATTAAAGTATAACTGCAAACAAAATTGTATTATATTTAAAGTGTACATGTGATGATTTGATACATGTGTATGGTGTGAAAGGATTCCCACCATCTAGATAATTAACACATCTATTACTTCATATATTTACCTTCTACTGGTGCTACTCTAGTAGCACTCTAGGTTCTAATGTCCTAGTGCTAAGTTGCTCAGTTGTATCTGACTCTTTGCAACCCATGGACTGTAGCCCAACAGGACCCTTTGCCCATGGGATTGCCCAGGCGGAATACTGGAGTAGGTAGCCATTCCCTTCTCCAGGGAATGACTGGAGACCCAGTGACTCAACCTGGGTCTCCTACATTGCAAGCACATTCTTTACCATCTGGGCTACCAGGGAAGCCTTGTAAGTTTCCATTATACAATAATGTATTATCAACCATGGTCATTACACTATATATTGTGTCCTTAGATCTTATTCACTTCATGTGCACCCTTTTATCACCTTCTCCCATTCCCAAGTCCATGTAACAACCATTGCACACTGTTTCTACGAGTTTGTTTTAGATTCCACCCCAAGTGAAACCATGCAGATTTTTCATTCTCTGTCTGGCAAAAATTGCTGAGCATGTTTGGAGAATATCAAGAAACTCAAACCTGGCCTAACTGTAGAGAGAGGAGATGGCACTGAGCCTGGAAAAAGGGGTTGGATTGCAGAGGGTTTCTAACACTCTGAGAAAACATCTGACTTTTCCTTGGGTAGGCAGGGGAAACTCTTGAGGGTATGTAAGCAGTGCCACACTCTCACAATGATTAAAAGTTTATTTGTTCTGACAAGAGATATTGAATACTTGAACTAATACGTGGGTGAGTTAGTAATCACTGGCCAAAGTCTCTGCAGAGAGAGATCTCAGCCTCCTCTATCTATATTTTAGAATCTGTTTTTCTTATCTCGGGGAGAAGTGCCTCTCTTCTCATCATATGAAAGTCTTTGCTATGTTAATTAATGTTCCAAACTTTATGTGATGACCTTAGTGAGTTATGAAATCACTTTCATGGGTTTTGACTAAAATTTCTTCTAATAATGCAAGAAAGTAAAATTGAATAAAAATTTTGATACATAATATAGATGGGCTTCCCGAGTAGCTCAGCTGGTAAAGAATCCGCCTGCGATGCAGGAGACCCCAGTATGATTCCTATGATGGGAAGTTCCCCTGGAGAAGGGAGAGGCTACCCACTCCAGTATTCTTGGTGGCTCAAACAGTAAAGAATCCCCCTGTAAGGTGGGAGACTTGTGTCCATCCCTCGTTGGGAATATCTCTTGGAGGAGAGCATGGCAACCCACTCCCAGTATTCTTGTCTGGAGAATTCCCATTGACAGAGAAGCCTGTTGGGCTACAGTCCATGGGGTCACAAAGAGTCGAACACAACTAATACACACACATACACGTGCATATGTATAGATAGATAGATATCCACACATTTTTTTGTGTCCTAGCTTAGAGGGAAAAAAAAGATATTCTTAGAGTGGCTGCAATCAATAAAGTTGGAAAGCCATTAAACTAGCTGCCTTGATTTCATATTTGATTCTTACAGTGTCCTTTGCATAAGAAATATGTTGTATAAATCATATAAAGCAAAAATGAAACAAACATGAAAACATTTTTTATGGATCTTGCTGACCATCAAAGTAGTACTCTCTCCTTCCCTTCTTGAAATTTCTTAAGGCTGTTTACTCACACCCTTGTAACCTAATGCCTGCTTCCACTGTTGATTGTCCAAATCCACTGGGGACCCACAGGGTTAATGCCATGGTCTGTCCTTAGTCTCTCCTGGGAGAGCAGCATCCATGCTCATCTTCTGCTCCTTTCTCTCACTACGTTGGCAATGACTTGGCCTCAGTTTCCTCGCCTCCTGGACAGCTCTTTTCTTTGTTTTTCTTTCTCTTCTGACTTGTCTAATGTATTTTCTAACTCCTATTTTCTTCTCATGTGCTCCCTTTGAATAACACCACCCTGGGAAATTTCTCTATCTTCATCTAGGCTTCTCCAATAGCTTCAAGCAATAAAGACTCTGCCTGCAATGCAGGAGACACAGGAGACATGGGTTCCATTCCTGGGTTGGAAAGATCCCCCAGAGTAGTAAATGGCAACCCCCTCCAGTATTCCTGCCTGGGAAACCCCATGGAGAGAGGAGCCTGGTGGGCTGCAGACCACAGGGTCACAAAGGGTTGTACACAATTGAGCACGTATGCACTTCTTCATCTGCCCTTCCAATTTTCAGATTTTGATTTCTTGTGGCTATTTGCATATTTCCATTCAGACAGAACTTTCATATAAATTTAATTTATTTGAAACATAAATTGTCTTTCTTCTACTGCAGCTCTCTCCAGTTTCCCCATTTCTTTTTTTTTTTTTATTAGTTGGAGGCTAATTATTTTACAATATTGTAGTGGTTTTTGTCATACATTGACAAGAATCAGCCATGGTTTTACATGTATTCCCCATCCCGATCCCCCCTCCCACCTCCCTCTCCGCCCGATCCCTCTGGGTCTTCCCAGTGCACCAGGNGTAACTGTGAGCCTCTCCAGGAGCTGACCTCTCTGCAGACACCCGTGTAACTGTGAGTCTCTCCAGGAGCTGACCTCTCTGCAGACACCCGTGTAACTGTGAGCCTCTCCAGGAGCTGACCTCTCTGCAGACACCCGTGTAACTGTGAGTCTCTCCAGGAGCTGACCTCTCTGCAGACACCCGTGTAACTGTGAGCCTCTCCAGGAGCTGACCTCTCTGCAGACACCCGTGTAACTGTGAGTCTCTCCAGGAGCTGACCTCTCTGCAGACACCCGTGTAACTGTGAGCCTCTCCAGGAGCTGACCTCTCTGCAGACACCCGTGTAACTGTGAGTCTCTCCAGGAGCTGACCTCTCTGCAGACACCCGTGTAACTGTGAGCCTCTCCAGGAGCTGACCTCTCTGCAGACACCCGTGTAACTGTGAGTCTCTCCAGGAGCTGACCTCTCTGCAGACACCCGTGTAACTGTGAGCCTCTCCAGGAGCTGACCTCTCTGCAGACACCCGTGTAACTGTGAGTCTCTCCAGGAGCTGACCTCTCTGCAGACACCCGTGTAACTGTGAGCCTCTCCAGGAGCTGACCTCTCTGCAGACACCCGTGTAACTGTGAGTCTCTCCAGGAGCTGACCTCTCTGCAGACACCCGTGTAACTGTGAGCCTCTCCAGGAGCTGACCTCTCTGCAGACACCCGTGTAACTGTGAGTCTCTCCAGGAGCTGACCTCTCTGCAGACACCCGTGTAACTGTGAGCCTCTCCAGGAGCTGACCTCTCTGCAGACACCCGTGTAACTGTGAGTCTCTCCAGGAGCTGACCTCTCTGCAGACACCCGTGTAACTGTGAGCCTCTCCAGGAGCTGACCTCTCTGCAGACACCCGTGTAACTGTGAGTCTCTCCAGGAGCTGACCTCTCTGCAGACACCCGTGTAACTGTGAGCCTCTCCAGGAGCTGACCTCTCTGCAGACACCCATGTAACTGTGAGCCTCTCCAGGAGGTGACCTCTCTGCAGACACCTGTGTAACTGTGAGCCTCTCCAAGAGGTGACCTCTCTGCAGACAGCCATTTAACTGTGAACCTCTCCAAGAGGTGTTCTGCTTCTTTTTTATAATCCTGTAGCTTTTGTTATAGCTCACCCTACAGAAAATTTTCAATTAATTATTAATTCCCATTTTAATAAACCATAAAATAAGTACCTTTCTCTTGTTCAGATCAGTTCATCAGAGGTAGATTAGGGAAAGGAGGATGAAAGTAATATCTTTCACACACCAACCACTTTTGCTCAATGAATAAAAGGATCATATATTTTATCCTCATCAATATCCCATTTATCTAAAAATTCACATTTGATATCCTATGCAAGACTTATGTTCTGTTCAACCAAAAAGGGATGCTTGCAGAGGAAAGGGAGATAATCACACGAAAATGTTTTCAAAATGTAAACAAAGCCAAAGATGGGGAAAAAAAAAAAAACTTGGAATAGGTAGAACTATCTCTTCATTTGAGTTGCTTTATGGTTCTTATATACTAAAGATAAGGTGTCTAGGATTCTAATTCTGAACAAAGTGCCCTACATTCCTTTAAAAGCAGATTCTTAGAGAAAAAATTACCCTACCATGTAGAGATTGAATTCTATAAATCATTAGAAGAAAGTGCAGATAGTCTTAGCAAAAAGGTAAGTGAAAACACCTAGGGGTTTCCATCAATACATAAACCAATGCAGAACGTTCTGACAGCACTGAAATAAAATACGCTTGCATTTGTTTCCCCTTATGGCTGTGTTTCCATGGTATCAAGCTTGGATTATCTTAACAGAAAGGGGCTGTGATTCTGGGAGATACTGACTTATTTTGGAGCATAACAATAAGTCATCTTGCTGTAACCACATTATTTTTCAATTATCTGCCTGATAATTCTTTATCAGTCATGAATTAAACACAGAAAATGAATGGAAACAGCTATAAAATTTATATAATATGCATCAAACAATCCCTCATAGCTGAAGTTATTGCAGAATATATGAAAACACTAGGTCTTTCTAAAAACTTATAAGATAATACACATTTGTACATAAATCACTTATTTCATAAATATACATTAACACTGGCATTCACATTTTAATAAGCATTATTTACTTGGGACAGAGTTTTAAAGGAAAAAGGATCCATAGAGTATAAAGTGTTCACTTTTGTCCTGTTTAAGTAATTAGCCTCCAACTAATAAAAATAAATGGAAAAAAAAAAAAGACAAAAAAAAATCTATCTTAAATTGAGATTTTTGTCTACATGAAAAAAATAGCTAAATCACAGAAAAGTCCATGTGCTACACAGATGGTGTTACTGATTGGGAAATATGGTAATATTTCTCAGCCTTACTTGTTGCTGGAAGAAATTAGAGGGCAGGCACATTGCTGACAGTCATTTGGCAATCCCTTGACGATGCCATAATAACCAAGAGCACATCGCTCACAGAAGTCACCAGCAGTGTGATGTTGACAATTCTGTAAAGAAAGGGGAGTTTGTTTTTAAAGTAGTGACAGAAGGTGATTTATCACGGAGCTCCCCGCCTCGGAGTCTGTGCGCTCCTGTGAACACACACACATACCCCATTGACAGAACTCAGTTATTAGCCCTACATATATTTTAAAATTTATTTTTTAACTGAAGGATAATTGCTTTCCAGAATTCTGTTGTTTTCCGTCAAACCTCAACATGAGTAAGTCAGAGGTGTACATGTGTCCCCGTCCTCTTGAACCTCCCTCCCATCTCCTTCCCCTCTAGATTGTTACAGAGCCCCTGTTTGCATTCCCTGAGACATACGGCAAATTCCTGTTGGCTATCAACCTTACACATGGTAATGCAAGTTTCCATGTTACTCTCTCTCTACATCTCACCCTCTCCTCCCCTCTCCCTATGTCCATAACTTTGTTCTGTATGTCTGTTTGTCCACTGCTGCCTTGCAAACAAATTCATCAGAGCCATTTTTCTAGATTTCACATATATGTGTTAGTATACGATATTTATCTTTCTCTCTCTGACTTACTTCACTCTGTATAATAGGCTCTAGGTTCATCCACCTCATTAGAACTGACTCAAATGCGTTCCTTTTTATGGCTGAGTAATATTTCACTGTGTATATGTACACATTTTTTAAAGAAGCTCTTTCATTTGAGAAGTTAATACTGGGCTGTTGTAGCTATAATGGGAAGAGTTTCTGTTCTCTTTTCCTTACATCAGTCTCTCTGAATTAATTTTCCTCTTATTCTAATCTGGAGAATAGACTTCACAAATTTCTAAAATGTATTGTATCATCTGGCTATTTATGTTTCTTCTCTACAAAGTGTTAAAAAAGCGCTAAAAATCCTAAGGTCTTGGTGCTTTACCATCAGTGGGCTTTTTGAAACCAAACCAAGGTGAAAAGCATATGTAACTTAAGAGAAAACAATTATAAAAAAAGAAAGAAAGAAAGGTCAGCCTTGTTTCCAGATTAAGAATGTTATTCATCTAATTCTTGCCAAGTGTTGATTGCTCTCTATAGAAAGAGAGAACCCAATCTGAAACCAGGGATCTCAAGTCAGTTTTCTGTTTGCATAATAAGAGGTATTTGGGTAATATGCTTTAAGACATTTCCAAAAGAAAATGAGAACAGTTTTGGAATATTGTTTCACCACAAACAATAACTTAAGTCACTTCCTCTGACTCTTTTTGAGAGTTTATGCTATTCTCTGGGGTGAAACCATGGCATCATCACAATGAATTTTGGAACCCTGTCTATTGTTTCATTTTTTGGTGTTATGTTGAAAATATATTGTGTTACAAATAAGATTTCATAATTCACTGTTAAATTGATCTACTTTTCTAACAGGATACAAATATCAAATCTTCTAATTCTCCACCTCTCTCTCAGCAGATGTTAGCTTCTTATTTCAGGGAAAAGGAAGTCCTCATTTAGTGTTCTCTCATCTTCCTGCCAAACAACAGACTATCTTTTCTGCCTCAACTTTCCTCCCTTCAATGTTTAGCTCTGTCCACAAGAAGTGGTGCATTGTTCTTTGTCTAAAGCTGCTCTCCTCCTAAACTCTGGTTTAGAAAAAAGGCCTTCTTTGTCTCCTATTAACTCCAGCATCTGCATTTTCTCCTTCTTGATGGCTTACTTCCACTGACAGTTGAGGTTGGTTAAGCCTTTCGTATCTTAAAAAAAAAAAAATCTCTGGGATCTCATGTTTCCGGACAACTTCCATCTTATCTTTGATAGGTTTATTAAAAAACATTATTTACATTGCTAGTCTCTACTTCCTTATCTCTTTTTCACCTCTTCATTCTTTAAACAGGCTTTAAACACACACACACACACACACACATATATATATATTCTTTTTTAGATTCTTTTCCATTATAGGATATTACAAGATATTGAGTAGTTTCCTGTGTTATATAGTATGTTCATGTTGTTTATTTAATTTTATATATAGTAGTGTGTATATATTAACCCTAAACTCCTAATTTACTTCCCCTCTGACCCCGAACAGGCTTCTGATTTCACCACTGAAAGATACATCCAGGCTCATGAATATGATCTTTCTTGCTAAATCAAAATTTACTGACAATAATCTGCCTTCATGATACATGAACCATCTGCAGCAGCTGATATTCCTGGTCATCCTTAGGTTGAAATTTTCTCTTTCTACAACAGTACACGAACCAAGAACTTCTGAATGTACAAGCTGGATTTAGAAGAGGCAGAGGAACCAGTGAAGAGGAACTAAAGAGCCTCTTGATGAAGGTGAATGAGAAAGCTGGCTTAAAACTCAACATTCAAAAAACTAAGATCATGGCATCCAGTCCCATTACTTCATGGCAAATAGATGGGGAAAAAAGTGAAGATAGTGATAGATTTTACTTTCTTGGGCTCCAAAATCACTGTGAATGGTGCCTGCAGCAATGAAATTAAAAGATGCTTGCTCCTGGGAAAAAAGCTATGACAAATCTCAAGAGCATATTAAAAAAGTAGAGACATCACTTTGCTGACAAAGGTCCACATCAGCAAAGCTATGGTTTTTCCAGTAGTCATGTACAGCTGTGAAAGGTGAACTATAACGAAGGCTGAATGCCAAAGAATTGATGCTTTCGAACTGTGGTTTTGGAGAAGATCTTTTTTTTTGGGAGAGGACTCTTTAGAGCCCCTTGGACTACAAAGAGATCAAACCAGGCAATCCTAAAGGAAATCAACCCTGAATATTCATTGGAAGGACTGATGCTGAAGCTCCAACACTTTGGCCACTTGATGTGAAGAGCTCGCTCATTGGAAAAGGCCCTAATGCTGGGAAAGATTAAGGGCAAAAGGAAAAAGGGATGACAGAGGACGAGATGGTTGGATGGCACCACCGACTCAATGGACATGAGTCTGAGCGAACTCTGGGAAACAGTGAAGGACAGGAAGCCTGGTGTGCTTCAGTGCATGGGGTCACAGGTTTGGACATGATTCAGTGACTGAACAATGATACAGTTTCTCTAATAGTACAGAGTACTGACTGATTACCTTCCTCCATGGCCATGCTTTATCTTCCTTCATGGATTTTTCCCCCTTTCTCTTGAGTAAGATTGGCCCTTTCTAACTTCGGCTCTCATTTCTTCTCTTTCTCTTTCCTACATTTTCTACCTTGATCATTTCAACCATTCCTAGAACTTCAGCTATCAGGGCTTCCCAGGTGGCGCCGGTGGTAAAGAACCTGCCTGCCAATTCAGAAGACAAAAGAGATGCAAGTTCGATCCCTGAGTCAGAAAGATCCCCTGGAAGAGGAAACGGCAACTCGCTCCAGTACTCTTGCCTGGAGAATCCCACGGACAGAGGAGCCTGGTGGGCTACAGTCCATGGGGTCATGAAGAGTCAGACACAACTGATGTGACAGCATGTAGCATAGCGTAGCAGCTATCATCTGTTTGTTCCAAACTCTAAATTTTATACATTCTGCCTAATATCTATCTCTAATGAGTTCCATACTTAAGTTTCTAATTGCTTCTTAGATAGATCTTGTATAACATAAAAGTATTTGAATGAGAAATCTCAAAAACTAAGTTCATCTCTTTCAAAACCTCCTAATGCTCCTGTATCTCCCATTTAATTCGGGGTCACTATCATCCCTCTGGTATAGCAAGACAGACCTTATATGTATATATAATTCAGCCTCTGCTTACTCCTCCAGTCTTTTGTCTAGCCCCTGTAAACTTCACACTGTATGCTGAAGCTATATGGGACTATCTGAAATTCTCAAATTATGCAGTGCTTCCCCTTACCTCTGGGAGTTTTCATATGCAAATATCTTGTTCTGGGATGTTTTTCCTCCTCTTAACTTGGCTAACCCATATTCATTCAGCTCTCATTTTCACTGTCACTTTCTCTGATAAACATTCCCTGATGCCTGAAGTCTGGGCTAAATTTTCCTTTTCGCTCAACACAGTGACTGAAATATGTTGACATTCAATGATTATTTTGAATGACTGCATAAATGAATGTACTTTCTAGGTATTATAGATAAAAACTGGTTAGGCTTCTTAAGATGAAAAAGATCAGTTTCAAGTCTAAAGAATTTACAGTAAGGTGGCTAGCAGGGAAAGAGGATTTGTCATATTTGGATACTGATTTAAGTACCATAATCCTCTCTTATTCAATCATCCAAAGGAACCACTGTATTTTAGCAAGAAAATAGCCATTTCATATTTAACAGTAGCATGGTGAGAGATAACGATTCCAAGATAAAATAATTATCTGTGAATTCCAGTCTCAAATCATTCAGCAAGTTGCCAAATGATGAAAGAGTGTTAACTGGGGAGTGCTTTAAGAATATACTTTATAGTTATAGAAATGAGCAGATGCCCTAAAATACATGGGATTTTAAGCAATAATTGTTAACATTTGCCTTTGTAAAAAAAAAAGAAAAGAAAACCTGCACAATAAATTATTTATGTAATTTACCGTAACACTGATAAGTGAGTCAACACAAAAAATAATGCTGATCATTACTAAAAATACAGATATTAAAAAATATGGTTTGCTTCTTTTATACCTACAACTCTGTATAATTTCTACAAAGAGATAACAAATATTTGAACTTTCTCTGGACAGTCGATCTTTCACAGTGTTGCTGACATACTAAACTTGGTTAACTGAATCAAATGTCCCACTTAGCCCCACAAACACAGCACACAAATCATGATGCTATTTTTGAAACTTTTGACATCAATCTTTCATATAACTTTCCTGTTTGCTTTGAAATAGAGGACATAATATTTCTCTTGTACAGAAATTAGTCTTTAGAAAAAAATTTTATGTGTTAGAGGCCTAAAGAGAAGTTTAATGAGCTGGAGATTAATATATGCCAGTATCATTTCAATAGTAGATGACAATATATAGCATTAGTTTTTGTTTTTTGAACATGGGAAAACCAAGTTCTGCCTTCTGAAGCTTTGCAGATTAAATCCTCCCTGGTGGCTAAGAAGGTAA